TTATGTTCTTTGTGGTTTGCTTTAATTTTTGTTCTTTAATTTCTGTTCTGTACATATAGATTATTGTTGGCATCTCACTCTCTTAGACCTTGCTTTCCCTTTCTAATTTATGCACTTTAATCTTATTTTCCAGAATACACCTAGCCGCCCATCTCCCTCCCCTTCCTGCCCCTCCCACCACCAATGAAACACCCTATCACCCCTTCCCTCCCAGAAAATAGGTTTAGGAGGAAAACGTTTAGGGTGATGGTGCACCATGGATGATCTATGTCATGGGGAGGGGCGGCTGGATGGTTTTGTTGGTTAGAGTATGGTGGTGTAGTGGTGGTTTAATTTGGTGTTGAGGATATAACCATGATTAATCTACTTTAAGTTAATTATTTGAGAATTACCTTAATACATCTAGATTAAACAAAAGTTATAAATCCAATGGCCTATTTGGTATTGGACATTTCATTTGAAATGATGGATTTAGCCCAATTCACATGATTAGGAATACCAGGTATTTGCATTTGAATTTGATCAAAATTCTAGCCTTTATCATTTTATGTTTAGCCCATAGCATTAATTTGAAATCCATTCCCATAGATAGTCATTTCTAATCCAAAAAATTGCTCTCCTCGACTCTCTCTCCTCCTCTCAGCCACCATTAAATGCAGAAAGCAAGCTTAGCTTGACAGTGCTTCCTCAAAAATTTAAAAAAACTAGTGATTAGCAATTGTTAGTTTGGTTAATGATGCGTTATTCTTTAGCAATGTATGTAGGTATTAATTACTTACTAACTTTTGTTTTTTCTTTTTAATTTTTTTATAGATTCATATGTGAATTGAAGCACAAGTTTAGCTTGAAGACTACAAATTTAGCTCAATTGTGGTATGAATTAAAAACTTAGTCTATGTTTCTTTTTCTTGATTCATGCTGAAAGTTTTCTCATGCCATTACAACTTGTGTATTGTTTAATGACAAATTAATACAACAATATATAAATGCTTGTATCATCATATGCCTAGATACCCGTTCAAGGCTTTCTCATTAGGAGAAAGTCTTGAATAGTCCCCGGTTGGGACTGTTCTTGAACGTTTACTCTCACTTAGGCGGTGAATGTATGTCTTCTTTTTTCGATTTTAAGGAACATCTTGGCTTAGCATTTCCTCGATCACCATGTGCTCTAGGTACATATGTGGGTAAGTTATTAATTACATCGTGTACTTGGAGAGCTGGGGGGGAATGCTGCCGGATTTTCCTTAAAATTGGAAAGTCGAGTAAACGTTCAAGGATGGGTTAGGTTGAAGCGATAAGGACCCTTTGGAAGTATATATGCATTATTGTATCTATATGAATGTTATATGCATGGTGTGTGTTTGAATTTGATTTACATATATATAGATGTAGCAATTATACATTATTCGTAATATGTTGCCATGTTTAGAGGCAATTTACTTAATGGAGAAGGATTGTGGCTGGATGTACGGATGGGGTTCAAGAGTTTTGTGAGAGGGCTTCATCTTATCAGCGCAGAATGGGTTTCGATTGCCTCTATTGTCCTTGTGTTAATTGTAATAATGTGAAGGTGGTTAATAGTGTTGATATCATTAGAGATCATGTTATTTGTCGTGGGTTTAGGCTTAAATACCATGTGTGGATTTGGCACGGTGAAGAAGGAGAGTACACTGGGGATGTTATTGGGAATGATGTGTATGATGATAGAAGCAATGATATTTGTGTGGACGAGGAATACAAGAATGATGAATTTATTGTTGATAATGGTGATGAGGATGGATTTGATGATGATCAGGTGGATGAGGTGGAGGATGAAGGGGTGAATGAAATGATGCGTGGTGTTGAAGGTGATGTGTTTGAGTGTTATCGGAGGCTTCTAAAAAGCCTTTGTATCCTAGGTGCAAAAAATACTCCAAACTATCAGTTGTGCTAACACTGTTTAACATTAAGTCGAAGCATGGGTGGACGGACAACAGTTTTACGTCTTTGTTGACCGTGTTAAGTGAGATGTTGCATGACGGGAATTAAATTCCTAAGTCATACTATTATGTAAAGAAGCTCATGTGTCCATTTGGTTTGGAGTATAAGAAGATACATGCATGTACTAATGATTGTATTCTTTATCGAAATGAATATGAACAATTGGAGGAGTGTCCACGATGCAAGAAGTCGCTCTACAAGCGCATAAGTTGCAATGCTGGTACGAAGGGACCTCCTGCGAAGGTGTTGTGGTATCTTCCCATCATTCCAAGGTTTAAGCGTCTTTTCTCAACACCAAAAGACGCAAAAAACTTGAGGTGGCATGCAGAGGGAAGAAAGAAAACAGAATGCTGAAGCATCCAGCCGACTCCCCGTAATGGAAGAACATTGATATGAAGTTTGGTGAATTTGGTGATGAAGTCAGAAATTTAAGGCTTGGGTTGTGCACGGACGGGATGAATCCATTTGGCACTCTTAGTACCCAGCACAGCACATGGCCGGTACTTTTAGTGATCTACAATTTGCCTCCTTAGTTGTGCATGAAACGTAAGTATGTAATGCTTTCACTACTAATAACTGGGCCAAGGCAACCTGGAAACGACATAGATGTTTATCTTGCGCCACTTGTTGACGATTTGAGAAAGATGTGGGACGAAGGGGTTTCCGTGTTTGATGCTCATAAGAATGAGATTTTCACCTTGCGTGCAGCTCTTATGTGGACCGTTAATGATTTTCCTTCATATGGAAACTTGTCTGGATACAAGAACAAAGGAAAAAAAGCATGCCCCATTTGTATTGATGACACCCCAAGAATACACCTTGACAATTGCCACAAAGAGGTGTATCTGCGGACTCGAAGGTTGCTAAGGCGCGATCACCCGTACCGTAGGCAGAAAAAGGCTTTCGATGGGAAAGCGGAAGAGGGGACTGCGCCTAGGCCATTGACTGGTGAGGAGGTTTATGCTCAAGTTAAAGGTATACGAACAGTATTTGGGAAAACAGAAAAAGTTGCGGACTCAATTGCTCTCTTTAAAAAATAATCAATCTTTTGGAAGCTTCCGTATTGGAAAGAACATGATGTTAGGCACTGTCTTGATGTAATGCATATAGAGAAGAATGTGTGTGATGCTCTTGTGGGAACGCTGATGAATATTCAAGGCAAAACAAAGGATGGAAAGGGTGCACGGTTAGATTTGCAAAAGATGGGGGTTCGTCCAGAATTGTGGGCTCGGGAAAAGGTTAGAAAGGGAAAGGAACAGGAAAAGAGAGATGAAACGAGTTCGAAACAAGGAAAGGGGAAGAGCAAGGAAAAGGAAAGTCCACAGATGCGTTGAAGAAGAATTATGATGTAGCAAAGGATGCCAAGGCTTATTTACCTCCGGCTTGCTACACATTATCAAGGGTAGAAAAACGGATGTTTTGTGCATGTCTGTACGGAATTAAGGTTCCATCAGGGTATGGATCTAACATGAAAAGATTTGTATCCTTAAATGGAGAATTGAAGCTGACAAGTATGAAATCCCATGATTGCCATGTTCTTATGCAAGTATTCCTACCAATTGCAATACGTGGTATTTTACCGAAGCACGTGAGGGAAGCTATTACAAGCCTCTGTTCTTTTTTCAATACAATATGCAGCAGAGTGCTTGATCCTTGTGCACTTGATGCTTTGCAGGCGGATGTGGTTGTGACTTTGTACAATTTTGAGATGTACTTCCCACCCTCACTCTTTGACATATTGGTGCATCTTATTCTTCATTTGGTGCGTGAAATTAAGTTGTGCGGTCCAGTGTTCATGAGGTGGTGCTATCCTTTTGAAAGACACATGGGTACATTGTAAAATAAGGTAAGGAATCGGGCTCACCCGGAAGGAAGTATGATTCAAGGGATCGTGGGTGTGGAGATTGGTAATTTTGTGGCCGACTATATAGCTGTTGCTGAACCTATTGGTCTTCCTACTTCTCGACATGAAGGGAGACTTGATGGTCACGGCACAATCGGGTCGAAACGAATGTCACCTGATCGAGATAAGTTTTTACAAGCACACCTATATGTGTTGCACCATGTTGTAGATGTTCACCCGTATTTAGACGAGCACATGGCTAGTTTGCTTGATGAATTTTCATCGAAAGGTGAAAGGGCACTGATGCAGTTGCATAATAAGAGGTTTGTGAGTTGGTTTAATGATCGAGTGATGGGTCGATTGGATGAGAGTGTCACTGATACAATAAGGTGGCTTGCTTATGGTCCTAGGGATGATGTTCGCTCATTTAAGGGATATAACATAAATGGGTACACTTTTTGGACTGAGCGTCAGGATTTGAAATCTTCCTCGACCCAAAACAGTGGTGTAACGCTTGTGGCATCTTCAAGGGATTTTGCAAGTGCTAAGGATAAATCACCCGTTGATGCAGAGTTATCATACTATGGTCGAATTCAAGAAATATGGGAGCTTGATTATTGTAGCTTCACGATTGCTCTTTTCCGGTGTAAATGGGTTGATAATATCAGGCGTAACGTCAAATATGATGACTTTACTCTTGTAGATCTTAGCCACCTAAATGACAGTGCGGAACCATTCATCCTTGCATCTCAAGCTAAGCAAGTGTTTTACGTAACTGACCCAGCAGATATGAAATGGTTTATTGTGCTAGCCGGCAAAAGAAGAATCCTAGGCATTGGAGATGTCGAGGATGAGGAAGAATATGATGCGTTTGATGACTCGGAACCTTTCACTGTTCCTAGACCTGTTGTACCAAATGACGTAGACGACCAAACCAATTATGTGCGATTAGACCACAACGAAGGAATATACGAATGAGGTACTATTTTTCAGCAATTTTGCAATTTTAGGTGTTGAAAGTATTATCACATGACAGGTTAGCCGAAAATGAATTAATTAATTGTCATAAGTATTATAATTAGGCAATTTATATTTTATTTTATAACTGTACCTTACAAATTTATTTATAATACAACTACTAACGTGTTATGATTGTTATGGCAGGTGATTACATCTCATGGTGGACGATCAGGACCGTGTTTGTGTTGAGGATGTAGAGGATGATGATGATGACTTCTCTGAGGATGGTGATGAGTTGTATTATGTAAACAAGGAGCCTGATTAGGGTGAGGCAGAAGATCAGGCTCAGGATGAGTTGGAGCGTAGGCTGGATGCATTTGAAATGGAGGCTGAACAAGCGCCTCCTATTGAAAATGCAACTTCTGAGACGGTTGGTGAGAACGCTACTTTCCACAATCAAAGCCAAGGACAAAGTGGAGGAGGGGTGAGGGCACCGGCTAAGAAAAAGGTGAGGGGTCCGACGACAAGTTTCAAGAAACCCGTCGGTCCCATGGTCCTAGAGTACGACAAGGCGGGCCAACCTGTAGGCGAATTTCGTCGTCCATATGCTATTCACGTTGGCATTTGTGCGCGTAAAATCCCAATTACACTTCGTATGCGGGAAGTACCTCCAGGCTTGATTGACACATTTTGGAATGATACAAGGGCAAGAGTTTTATTTGCATATTTATACAATTATAAATACCTTTACTTTAATGTTATGTAAAAGGGGAAACTAATAATCGACTTTATTTGTGTTTGCAGAGTCTGTTTAATATTTCTAATGATGCCGCCAAGCGAAGGGTGTTTGAATCTTTGCTAGCGGAAAGATTCAGAGGCTTCAAGAGCGAATTAGTTCGTGGTTGGATCACAAAGACTGTTGTGAAAAAACCAAAGAAGAAGAAAGGCAATGATGATGAAGTCATCAATAAAGAGCTACTCCCATGGAAAAAATGGCCAAACATATCGAAGGATGATTGGGAAGCTTTTGTTATTCAACAAAGTACAAAGGAAACAATTGTAAGTTTAAGTAAATTTGATTTCAAGCCTTATAATATATTATATCTTTTTGAAGTAATAATACTAACAATTCTAATTACGTAGGAACTGAGGGAGCAAAATTCCAAAAATGCAAAGCTGAAGCAATACACCCAACGTATGGGGTGTAAGACATTTGGTGAATGGAGGGAAACGTGGGTCAACGAAGGAGTATACCCCACTTCGCTACTAGGGTCGTCCAAAGGACCCTCTTCTTCCACGATCACTACGCTGGTGAGTCGTGCTAGTGATTTCTTCTGTTCACTGCATGCGCGTGACAAGGAGACCGGAAAATGGGCCATCAAGGCTCCGAAAACGAAAGAAATGGCTGATAAGCTCGTAAGCAACTACGAACTTGAGAACTCTATGAATATTTTGCATAAATATTACTTATGGATGCTATTGGTTTCTGTTTTTTTTTTGCTACAGATTGAACACACTGAAGAACTGGTTGAAGGCAAGCTCGTCCCAAGTGTAGAAAAAGACCCTTTCACCTTGGCTTTGGGAAAGCCCTACCATCCAGGACGGGTAGTAGGTGTAGGAGGGTCATTGCTAGGGTGGGAAAAGGTGATGGGTCCAGAGTACACTAAATCAGGAAGATCCCGAGCAAGTGTGAACTCACCTCATGACTTGGTTTCCACGGTGGCATCCATTAAGGAACAAGTCCGCAACGAGCTCGTAAGTGAATTTAACGCTTGGGCGAAGCAAATGAACCTACCGAGCTTGCCTTTCCCCTCGAATACACCCGTCGACTCATGTAGTCACCCAAAAGGACAAGGGGAAGATGATATACATGGAGACGATGATGCAAATGAGGTAGTTTCAAAACTTTTAGTTTTGGCATATTGAGTTATGTAGGATCTAAGGTGGCAGTCATTAATTTCTTGTTGCAGGGTGGTACGCCTAAACATGCGGACTCGAGGGAGCTCGATAATCCAGCACCTCATCGTTTTCCTGATTTACAAGTGATTTTGTTTAGTTCTATCTTAGTGAATATGGGCACATTATCAATCTTAGTGAATATGGACACATTATCAATTGTGTAGGAAACGACCCTTTGTGATATGTTTGGTTCTAATAACTGATCTTTCAAATTGGTGTAGGAAGAGACCCGTTGTTCACTTCTACACCTGGACGAATCTGGAGCTTTGCATGTGGTTGCATATGGTAGTGCACAACCGGCCGAACAAGGTACGGTCCATTTGCGACCGCTTAGGCCACAACATTACTCGGTTGGGATCAATTCTGTTATTACCGGGTTCGAGGACATCCTAATACCGGTGCCCATAGAGGAGGAGGAGTTTACTACACTTTGGGCGGCAAAAGGTAGCTTTGTGCAGTGGCCATGTGCTTGGGTAAGGTTGATGAACCAGATAATTAAGATTTTGGGTTCGTTCGGTACTTTATGCCCGGTAGTTTTCACAAGAGTTAGATGGATTTGTCTTTTCTAACCAATTGCGTGATTTGTTGTATTAGATTTCGCAAAAAAGACAAACTTCAGAGAGGAGGGTGGAACAACCAATAAGCGTTGATTAACCGGTGCCAAAGAAGAGGAGTGAACAAAGGTCGGAGAGTGAAAAAGAGTCGAAGAAGAACTCTTCGAGAGGTTCAGCTTTGCAAGCTACTCCACTTGTTGCTGACACGGTCCTTCAAACGCTGTCTAAGGATTTAACATTTCTACACAACCGTGTTAGTATGTTGCCTAGTGACACTCCCATTTAAGTTCCACTACCTAAGGCAATGTTCCACTTTGACGAGGATGCAGTTGCATGGCTTAGCAAAGAAGATGTGAAAGAATTTCTAAGTGGTTCAATGCTTAACATCTCCCTCGTTCAAAAATTCATGAGGTAATTTAATGCCAGACACTACTATGTTATTCAAATTAGTGGTGATTGCTTGTCATTTAATTTCCCATTAATATTTTGTTACCATGCATGCAGAGCACTACAGGAGCACTTACTTGAGATTGATTCTCCGTGTCAAGTAGGGTGGTTATGCCCCGAGCAAATCTCCACTACTAGAATCTTAGGCAACTACCCTGACGTGTTGTACTATGTTGAACGGGGTATCAAGGAATCATTGCGTGCGGGTGACAAGTTCAAATTCGCCCCATGTTTTGAGGAGTACGTTTGACCATGTCAACTTCATTTGTTTCCCCTAATTATATGTTGTACACGGCTAATTATTGACTTGTTTGTGTATTGTCCATTTTTGTAGTACACATTGGACCCTGCTGGTGATTTGTGTTCCCGGTAACACCATCTTCCTTTTTGATTCAGCTCGATTGCCTCATCCGAAAAAGCTCCTCGTGAAGTCTATACAGCGAAAGTAAATATAGCTATCTAGTGTTGATTATCCTTACTTAACTCATTTATTATATTAGTCATACTAATCAAGTTTGAACTTACTTTTCTATAGTGCTATGAAGAAGATAAATTGCCAAGCTCTTCAAGGTTCTACATGGAAATCACCGATGGTAATGCTACATGATTTTGTGATTTTTATAATAAACGATGCGTAAGATGTTGCTAATTTGTTATGCATGTTTGATTCATTTACTGTGTTCCTATGCTAGTGCGCACAACAAGATAATGGAGTTGATTGCGGACTATACGTGATGAGATTCATGTTGGATATAATGAGTCATTATACAGACTTACAACAGCTTGATGAGGTATGCCATTGACTTAGTTAATTTGCTTTTGTGGTGTGTTTTGATAAGAGAAAACCCTTGAACTGCGTCTTAAAACCCTTGAATTGTTCTTTTAATGTGATTTCAAGCCTTAGCTGCCTCTAACTAGGTAATAATGACATGTTAAGAGGAAGAATGAGCTAATTTGATTAAAAATATAGAAAATAGGCATACAAGTAGTGATATAGGCCTTATTTCGGCCATTTTGAATGAAATTGCGTCCTAAAACCATTCAAATGCTCTTTTAATGTGATTTCAAGCCTTAGCTGCCTCTAACTAGGTAATAATGACATGTTAAGAGTAAGAATGAGCTAATTTGATTAAAAATATAGAAAATAGGCATACAAGTAGTGATATAGGCCTTATTTCGGCCATTTTGAATGAAATTGCGTCCTAAAACCATTCAAATGCTCTTTTAATGTGATTTCAAGCCTTAGCTGCCTCTAACTAGGTAATAATGACATTTTAAGAGGAATAATGAGCTAATTTGATTAAAAATATAGAAAATAGGCATACAAGTAGTGATATAGGCCTTATTTCGGCCATTTTGAATGAAATTGCGTCCAAAAACCATTCAAATGCTCTTTTAATGTGATTACAAGCCTTATCTTCCTCTCACTATGTAATAATGAAATTTTAAATGAAAGAATGAGTTGATTTGATAAGAAGTGTAGAAAATAGGCATACAAGTAGTGATATAGGCCTTATTCGGGCCATTTAGGTTGAAAATGCGTCATAAAACACTTGACTTGCTCTTTTAATGTGGTTTCAAGCCTTAGCTGCCTCTAACTAGGTAATAATGACATTTTATGAGGAAGAATGAGCTAATTTTATTAAAAATGTAGAAATTGGGCATACAAGTAGTGATATAGGCCTTATTTCGGCCATTTTGAATGAAATTGCGTCCTAAAACCATTCAACTGCTCTTTTAAAGTGATTTCAAGCCTTAGTTGCCTCTCACTAGGTAATAATGACATGTTTAAAGAAAGAATGAGTTGATTTGATAAGAAGTGTAGAAAATAGGCATACAAGTAGTGATATAGGCCTTATTCGGGCCATTTAGGTTGAAAATGCGTCTTAAAACACTTGACTTGTTCTTTTAATGTGATTTCAAGCTTTAGCTGCCTCTAACTAAGTAATATTGACATTTTATGAGGAAGAATGAGTTGATTTGGCAATAAATGTAGAAAATAGGTGAAGTAGTAGTCATATAGGCCTATGAATTAAATTTTTGCCTAACTTAAATTGTAAATGTATTTTTACATACATAACCTAAGTAATTAATTCTAGCTAACATCATTTTTGTTTAACCAAGGTTTGCAAGGTACAGAAAGGAGGTCTATTGACGAGCAAAGAGCTGAATGAAGTTCGAGACATGTTAGCGTCTTTCATCACATATAATTTAATTTGAACTTGTTAACTTATACATTAATTATTAGTATAGTTTTTAAATATAACACCTTTTAATTAATGAGTTGTAAAAGCTATATGACATTTCATTGTATCGCATTTACGGTTATTAATTAATATTTGTGTATTGTTGTTATTATTCCACTGTAAAAATTATTATATTATTAGTATTTTTAATAATAATATTATAATAATAATAATAATAATAATAATAATAATACGGGTAATAACTATTATTATTACTGTTATTATAATATATATTAATGGCAGAATTAATGCATGATGTGCAGGTTTTTAATTATTTTTAATTATAAAAAAAAAATTAAAAAACAAAACAGGTTTTTCCCACCGGTTTACACATTGAACCGGTGCCCAAAACAATTTTGAAAACTGGCGCGCTAACTTTTAGCACCGGTTCAATGTGTAAACCGGTGGGAAATCTCATGGTTTTGCCACCGGTTCACTCCAAAACTGGTGGGAAAAGTCTTCCAGGTATTTGCTAAATCGAATGTTTTTGCCACCGGTTCACTCCAAAATCGGTGGGAAAAGTTGTTTTGGCCACCGGTTTTGAACCGGTGGGAAATCTTTTGGGATTTAGCACCCCCCAAATCAAAACCGGTTCAAAACTGGTGGGGAATGTGTGGTTTGAACCGGTGGGGATTAGGGTTTTTCGCCTAGTGTTGCCTTGTTCTTGAACTCCCTTCTCCTTGCTCTCAAGGGCCTCTCGATCACTCCATAGGCGGTGGCACGGCTAAGTAGTTGCACCACCTCCTTTAAGGAGAGTGTCTCCTTTCTCTCAGCTATATGCACTCTAAGTGCATCATAGCCCGAGTGGATTGAAGCAAGCAAGATATGCCCCGCCATCTCATCCTCCAATGAGATTCCGATAAGCTGCATGTGTTTGAAGAGCCTAGTCATTCCAAGCACATGAGGTCGGAGGGGCATCCCGGGTCTCAATTTGGTATTGTAGACCCTTGACCAAAGCCGACGCCTTTCCTTAGCAAGACAACCCACATTCGGTGGTTTAATCTTCATGTTTGAGAGTGACCTAGTCAAATCAAACACGAGTCCATCATAGTTTCCATTATCACTCTTGGTGACTCTTATGTTGACAACGTCCTCAAGTCCTTTGAGGAACATGTCCGGAAAATAGAATAAGAGCTTTTCCTTCCAATCTTCCGGGATGGTATTGGAAATAAGTCGTGAGACTTTCTTGCAATCAAAAGACCATTTTTCATGAGCCTCATCGGTCATGATTCCCTTAGAGAAGAAGCTTGGAATGGGAGTGTCAAGAGTGTACTCCAAGGAACAATTCCAAAGAGGTTTCCTGAGTTCCTCCATCCACTCCTTGAAGTTGACCAAGTTAAGGCTAAAAGCCAACTTTTCGGGGAGTTCCGGGCACATAGAGTTGTTGTTTGAATTACTTGCAGACATGTTTCTACAATTGAAAGAATTTGAAATGAAAAACCATTCATAAACCAATAAGTTTGAAATTTAAAGCGTTCATGCAAATTTTCAATCTTATTGAGCATTTTATCCACGCATTAACATTAGTCCCTTTTAGGCAGGAATAAAATGATTCCAAGATCCCAAAAATCAAAAAGTGATTAAGCATGCTTTGGCTTGTCTTAACACTTAATATTTTAGGGTAAGCAATCCAATTACTAATAGCTCCAAGCTACTCTTGGTTTGATAAAATGTCGCATCTAATGCTTCCTTGGCATTTTATCTCCATTGCCACGACATCTAAGGACTCCTTACCGATATCGTTGAGCTTAACCAAGACAACTTGTATACCTAGTATACCTTACGTTCCTAGGGAAGTAGTGGTGCCTCGCTTTGGCATAGCCCATCACATACGCGCATTAGTTTGGTAAGTGTTGTTCTTGGAATGGCATATTTTAGCTCAATATTTTAGGGACCTAGGGTTTCTATGTTGGTTGATTTAAGTGAACTCAATTAATCATCGCAACATTTGAAATCCTAAACATGCACCTAACATATCATTCAAATATATAAGAACAATTATATATAGAAAACATGAAATAAGATGCATTTGGCAACTAGCATGACCCCTTGAAATCTTCAAATCTTCAAGGGTCTTCATCTTGGCTCGCCTTCATAGAAACGCCGTCTTGAGACATCTTCGCCAAATAAAAAAATACTAGCTACTAAGATTAGGATTAATCTAAATATTAAGGTACAAAAATACTCAACGGTACGCAGACCGTATTTAGATTTACAAAAATGCATAACGGATCGCAGTTCGTATTTACTATCCTAATTGGGCTCCACTAGTTGCCATTTTCACGAAACCTGTGAAATAATATATTTTCCATTCATCCATTCACTATATGTGAATGGCCCATGCTTTTACAACGAAAAACAAGTAACAATGCATAACGCGCGCGAACTAGTAACTAACTTAGGTGGTTAATCCAATTAACACGCCTAATTAAAACTAGCCAAGTTGTTTAACATTTTATGTGATTAAGACGCAATTATTTCATGCAATTAACGAAGCTTCCACTAAATTCCGCATCCAACTTAATTAATCCAATTAATTAAGCCGGTTAACCCAAATTTTGTCAAAATTAAAATTTTGCAAGAGCCGGAAAAATCAAGGTTTAACCTCGTTAAAATAATTAAATAAATTAAAACGGAAAAATTAAAATTTTGCAAGAGCGGAAAAACCAAGGTCTAACCTCGTTAAAATAATTAAATAAATTAAAACGGAAAAATTTTGCAAAATGATAGCCCAAGATTAAGCAAAATAGCCCACTTAAAACACGTGGGCTGCGCACCATGGCTGCTAGGCAGCCCTTGTGTTGCATCTAATGCTGGGTGCTAGCATGCTCGCCCAGCGTAGGACGCCATGCTAGCTAGCACCAGTAGCCCGCTACGCATGCTAGCTGCTCACTGGCGCTAGCAGTGGCTGCCTGGCTGGGGCTTGCTGCCTCGCTGCCCAGCAGCATGCACAAGCACCTCCAGCAGCTTATGGCCACGCACATAGCATCAGTGCACCACAGCCCCTCGCCACACAGCAGCAGCACCTCAAGGCACAACACCCCTGTGCGCACCATAGGAAGCCACATGTGGGCTGCGTAGGCAGCCCGACTAGCCTTGGTGGCGCTTGGGTGTTCTTGCCTCGATTTGCATGCCATTTCTCGGGATTTTAATCCCAATTTACGTGTGACATAAAATTAATCCTAAATTTATTTGAGAACCAATTTAGGGCAAAATGAAATAAAATAAGTCCAACTTAATTAAATTTGATTTTAATTGTGCACAAGCCTAAATCATCCAAAATTACCTTTGAAATAATTTAGGTCTCTCTTGATGATTTAAAATTGAAGGGCTACACCCATAATTAATTTAACCCAAATGTAAATTAATGATGAGTTTTGACAAAATAGGGAGTTGGAAAAATAAAACCTTTCATCCAATGAAAAATTTCCCAACAATAACTTGTGTAAAATTGAAAAAATTTACATCTTCCAATATGAAGATTAATCAAAATTCAATCACAAGTTTTGAACTTTAAGGACTTTAATCAACACAAAATGATTAAATTTAAGAATTGGTTCAACATGGACTTTAGCAATCAAAGTTCTAACCAAATAAACAATTAAAGGTTGAATCTTTGAAATTTTAGGGGCTTCAAAATTGCAAGTTCAATTCACCATAAACATTCACACTCAAAGCAATTTATTTGCAATAATGTGAAAAATACAAGTTTATGTGAAAAGTGAACACACCAAATTAAGCACCAATTATGACTTCATAAACATGCTTAATGAGTTTTATAATTGCAGTAGATTAGGGATGCAACCATACATTTAATCTACTTTCATCATGCAATAATTAATCAAGATTAAAAGATTTAAAAAAATTCGTCAAAAACGAAAAACCCCTCGAAAAACAAATTTCTGGATGGATTTTGGCTTCTGGACATTCCTACAAGGTTCATAAACGATTTAGAACATCGATTCCACCAAAAAATCACTATTTTTGAGTCGAAATCTGGGTTCGTCAACCAAATTTAAAAAAAAAATAAACGAGATTAAAATTAATTAAAACGAGCTTCTAATCCAATTAGAAAGCACAACTAGAAATTTAAATCCATTTTAAATCACCTTAATAAATTATTAGTCACAATAATTAAAGTGAGCGCGGCTCCGATACCGCTGTTGGGTTTCGTAGAGTCCGACTCTACACGGAAGGAAAACCCACCCAAGACCCGCACACTAAATAAAGCAACTAAGCATGCAATCACTAATTAAACAACAATTAAGAGAGATAAAGAAAAGACATTCTTACCCTTGTCGTGTGCTTCGCTTGAATCCCGAGCTCTTACTTGAACCCTGCAAATGCAAGGTCCCCGACGGCTTGTACCCACGAACCCGACCCGTACGATCCAAGTCCCGATGGTTAGTCGGGACCCGACCAATAAAAATTAGAGTTTTACGAACTTACGGTTTTCTCACTTTTCTTAAGGATATGCATTTTTAGTTCCACTCAAGTTTTCATCCCAAATCCCAAAACCTTGGTATTTATAGGGAAATGAACCTTGAATTCCCACTCTTGATCAATGTGGGATATTTGCAATTTTCCCATTTTATTTTAATTAAAACAAAATTAAAATTGCAAAGCAATCAATAAGTTACAAGTGGCACAAGGAAGAAGAGAGAATAGCTGAGGACCATTTCCGGGGGAGGGGGGGACCATAGCCTTGGTGCCCAGGGTAATGCCCACAACCCTTTGGTCCCCACTTGGCCAAAACCGACATCCTCCATGTAGCTGGCTGGCAGCCTGCCTTGGCTGCCAAGGCTGCCAGTTGGCGCCTAGCACCATATTATTGATCGGAAGTGGCCTCCACCTAGGCATTACGATCACTTGACCTTATTGAAGAATTAGCTATCCGATAATTCTGAACCCTCTATCGGAATAATACACTTGTTGGAAGGACACCATTCCTTATATATATATATATATATATATATATATATATATATATATATATATATATATATATGTGTGTGTGTGTGTGTGTGTGTGTGTGTGTGTGTGTGTGTGTGTGTGTGTGGAACCAAGTTATAATATGAACCAAGCCTAAAATGAGAGCTAGGAACTAATCTAGGCCCTTAGATCATGTTTATCGGACGGTCCACATGCTTCCCGTGTCACTAATGGCATTTTCGTAATATTTCAACTTTACAAAGTAGTTTCCAGTTTCATTTCTATAAAGTAAATGAAAACTTAGTAAAAGTAAATGAAATCAGTGAATGAATGAAATTTCAGTAAAAGTTTAAAAAGCAGGAAAAAAAAAATTAATAAACTGCAAAATTACAAAAATGTCATTAATGAGGGCGGGTGAAACGTGAGCCATCTGATGGAGTGCGATTAAAAGTTATATATATATATATATGTATATATATATGTATATATATATATATGTATATATATGTATATATAGGAATTATATTTTATGGTATATATAATTTAAGATTGTTTGACTTTAGAGTACTAAAATCATGGACTAATATATCGATCATTGTATTGTCCCTATAATGTTAACTCCATTCAAACACTCTTATTGCTTTGCCGCACCACTCTTTACTTCTGTAGTATCTCAATCTATCTTTCTTATAAATTAAATTTTTCTTATACCATTTTTATTACTTATTACCATTCCATTTTTTCACCCTTCTTTGTTCTCTCTACAATTCACAACTTGGATCATGAGTTATTATTGGTCTGCCCTATTACCAATTACCTTAGTCATGTCGGGTTAGGGTCATGGTAAATTTTAGTTAGGTTAATAATAGGTAGGGTTTAATTGGATCATGAGTAATTTTGGGACGGTTATTTTAATTGGGTAATGGGAAGTTTCAAATCGGGTAATTAAAGGTCGGGTAAATTAAAAAGAGGTGTTTTTTCGAGTCTAAATGGTTTCGGATAGATTTTGTTTCGGGCTGGATTGAATTCGGATTTTATATTATCGGTTTTTATTGGTTTCGAATTACATATGAGTCGATTCGAAGTTGGGTTTGGATCATAAATTACCGGATGGAGTCGGTTTTGATTAACGTCAGGTCGACTCCAGATCGAATTTGGATAAAAAAATACCTATATCCAACTAGTTTAAAAACAGTTCGATTTCAAATAAAGCTTTCGGATCGGATTAGTTTTTGACACCTCTATAACCATGTGGTCATGTGCGTTGTTATTGGTACTTCACCAATTGGCATAAAATTATTCCTGTATTATCAATTTGGTACTGGTGTGTGCCCAAATTTCTTGTAATCTTAAACCTTCCGACCCGCACTCCACATTCCTAATTAGTATTAACTTCCCATTATATTGGTCCCAAAAAAATATCCACTTATCCCTTTCTATATAAACACACCACCTTTCTTGCCCATTTTCTTCCTTCTAAAATCACCTCTCCTTTACACATACACAACTAAAAGTTCTCTTCATTCCAACTCCCCCTTTTCTATTACTCTACATTACACATAAAAAAAAAATTTAAAAAAAAAAAAAACCAACAATGTGTCCTCATGAGACCAAGATGATCTCCTCCACCTCAGATGGGCGGGCGGCCCTTCAACGTCGAAACACTCTTAAAAAAATCGCCCTAAAGACACCACCTCCTGCTCCTCCATCACCGCCCCCACGAAGTGCTAAATCGAGGCCATTATCCTCAGCCTCGCCGACCTCCCCTAAGCTGAGGTCGCCAAGGCCTCCCGCCGTGAAACGTGGGAATGAGAATAACAGCCTTAGCTCTAGCTCAGATAAGATCATACTCCCCAGAGCTCCACTCATGCGTTCCGTTAGTAGTTTGGAAAGAAAGAAGTCTAAGAAATGGGGTGTTAATAACAACAACGGTGTCACCCGTTACGGCATTGATCATATTGTCAGCGATATTGATCCATCTTTGATGCTACGATATTCGTCGTCTTTGATCACAGAGGCTCCTGGAAGTATAGCTGCTGTAAGAAGAGATCAGATTGCGCTACAACATGCTGAAAGAAAGATGAAAACTGCTCATTATGGAAGGTCTAAATCTGCTAAGTATGAGGCTAAAGTTTCACCATTAGTTGAATCTTTGAGGAAAATCAAGACTTCCGAAACACCTGTTCATGAGAGAAGATGCACTTCTGTTACTCCTAATTCTGGTAACAATTCCTCTCTTGTTTTCATATTTTTGTTTTTGAAAAATAGCTTGATGAAAATTATATTTAAGGAAAATGATCGCTACTATTTTCTACAGTTTGGTATTTATAAATGGTGTAAAACAGTAAAACAATTATTTCTCCATAAGTGGACAAGACTTTTCTAAACAATTAATTAATGTGCTACATTTTACTCCAAACCCCCGTGTTTGAGAAACTAGATATAATTATTTTCCATATTGATATTTTGTAAATATTATCATTATAATTAATTATAATAGAATATGATATTGATTATATCTCATTTCCCTAACACCTGACACCTTGATTTTCCTCTACTTTCATCCGATCCATCTTCTTCCAATTCCCTTCTTTTATCATCTTCCTCTAATTCTACGAATATAGAATTTGCGTGTAAGGTAAAATTATATTTACAACTGTGTTGTGCCTTAACAATTTTAATAATGATATATATTTTCCATTAAAATAAATGGTGTTTAATATATTGGTGGGTTTCATTTGGATTTTCCTCTTTCTTTTTTTTTGTTTTGAAACTAACAAATGAAAGTTGAAGACAACAAATGTTCTGCTTTTATTAGAAAAATTGGTTTTGGTTTGTATGGAAAACATATGATAAAACTTGTAGTAATGTTTACGTCAAAGGAACCAAACAAACTATCCTTATTTTACATCAATTTTAACAAGCAAGTAGTAATCTTCCTTGAGGAAATTGTCACGTTGTCCCAAAATACTATGTTATAATTTTCATACTACCTTTGTTAATTTTTAGGAAAAATGTAAACCCCCATCTTCCATTATAACATAGTATTAATTTCAAAAGGTGGGATTGTTTATGGAAGACCGACTAAAGGTGGGATTATTAGATTACAATTTTCTTAATTTTTAATTGCAACAAATAAATTTTTTATGTCTCACAAATAATACTCCTTTATTGGAATTAAAAATTAACGAAAGTAGTATTACATTTCTGGAAATAAATAAGTCATAATTTTTTATATAAAATGTCAAAACTATACAAGTATTTGGTAAGTTTAATTAAGCTACACACCAAAATAGTCCTTTAAGGGAGTCAAGAGTGGGGTAATAATTGCAAGAGGATAGATTGGTAAAGATGATTATGTAAAACAATTTGTGAATATTGACATATTGTACAAAATGAACAGAGGACAAGGTAATGAAGTACGAAGTAAACCTTTTCCTTTAATCCTTTTCAGTATTAGCCAATTTTCAAAGTTGTAATTAAATTGAAGGACACCAAGGCGTTTGTTATGATAAGTTCAAACCTAGAAATCTAATTTTTAAGCAATCCCTCCGAAGTATTAAGTTTTTTTTTTTTGTTTAGTTTTCATATATGGAAATTAAAAAATTTAGAACATTGCATAATTTGCCTTTAATATGATGCATGTGTAGTTGTAGTTTTATTTGCAAAGTGCACAACTTAATTTCTATGGATATAAATTAATAAGTGCTATTTTATACTCCGGTATAATAATGCGTGTATTATACTCCCTCTATTTCCCAATAATTGTAATATTAAGTGTTGTAAACAAATTTAGAAAACTTATAAGGTGGGGACCAAATGAAGAATTTTATAATATAAAGTATAGTAAGTAGAGATATATTTAATTGTCAATAGGAGAGAAAAATAATAAAAAAAAGTAGTGTAAGTGGGGTTGGTAGGAGTAATAAATAATATAAGTAAGTCCTTACCGAAAAAGGAAGTGTTGCAATTATTATGAAATGGATGTAAAAAAAAAAGTGTAGTGATTATTACAAAAAGGGTGGAGTAATAATTAAAACAAAACAAAACAAAACAAAAACAACAACAACAACACAAAATAAAAAAATAAAAAAATAAAAAAAAATAAACTCCTTTATAGACCAACATTGTGGGACATTCGAAAAGATTAAAGAAAAAAATATAATGAGAAGAATAAGTATGAATATGTCAATATCTAAGGTCGAAGTATTAATGAGGTTTGTTATGCATTTGTAGATGTATGATAAATACTAAAATATTGAAAAACACATGAAAGAGAGAGAAAGGAGGAGAGAAATGGGTAATTAGGACCACTTTTAAATGTATCACTGAAACCTTATATAATACTACTTTTGTTTTTTTAGTTGACACGTTTTGACTTTAACATTATTCACACTCCCCTTTGACCGTGTTTTGTGCTTTATACGTAATGAAAAATATAGCCATGTGGGATCTTATTTTCAAAAATATCAAATCTTCATAATTTTTTCTGATCGGTAATTAAAGATATGAATGGTTGAAGTTGTGCATTGGCAAACGTGACTAAAAAAACGTGTTAACTAAAAAGAAACGGAGGAAGTACCATTGACTATGTAGTGATACTATTTCTACACGTAATTATTATCAATGAATGAATATATAGTACCACTATATACATACATAGTACCACCGAATGCTCAATGGTACTATTTGATCATCTAATCGTACTATTGATCACCCAATGGTACTACTCTAAATTCAGAATATGCATTTACGTGTAATTACAGTATTGACCCTCGTTATGCATTTACTCATACCTCACTAACCTCTCTTTGGAAGGCCTCAAATATCTAGATTATTGGTTCCCTAAAAAAATAATAAAAAAAATCTAGATTATTTGTTTGTTTGTTTTTTTTTTAGCTTGAGCTTAACTAACAATTTTTTTTTCCATTTTTCTCTAAAACAGATGCTCTTTTTGTTGCTTATCATGACAAGGAATGGGGAGTACCAGTTCATGATGACAAGTAAGTGTCTGCCTCAATATTAATTATCTCTGTTTTTGTGTTTCTTCTAAAATTGTACATTAATTAATGATGATTGTAACAAAATTTATTGTGTCCTAATTTTTGGGTGACTTGCATTTAGGATGTTGTTTGAATTGTTAGTACTGAGCGGTGCACAAGTTGGCTCCGATTGGACATCCATCTTAAGGAGACGTCAAGATTTTAGGTGAGAGTTTCTTTCCTATCCCCTCCTTTTGTAAGTGTTATAATTTGCTTGATATATATGAACAAGTATATAGTTTTAGAAAGTTTACTTTATTACTCGTATAGTCGTATTATACAAAATAATAAAATGTAAATATACGAAATAATAAAATGTAAGTGCGAAAGTTGAGGTATTAAAAATATTATAAAATTAATAAAGAGTTGATTCGCTTAGTAAAATTTTTACCTTAGATCCCATAAGTTTGGGGTTCAAATCCTACCAAGTGAGGGTAGTTGGGGTAGGGATTCCCTTACCTTCCCTCTACTCCGAAATGTCTAGCCTATAAATGCTTGACCAAAATAACCGTGAAAATTGAGGTCTGGTCAGTCATCCTTACCTTAAAAAAATATTGTAAAATGATATATTGAGTTATATATATTTTATTGAAAAATAATTATGAGTTGATAAATCAACTATTCAAAAGTCGATACATATCTCATATTTGTAGTAGAATACTGGATAAAAGCCCGTGCGATGCACGTATTTTTAATACAAAAAAAAAAAAAAAAAAAAAAAAACTCCATATATTTCTTTGTTAGAATGTCATTAAGATTTTTTTTTATTATTATTATTTGATTTGTCTCGGGGTTTTCTATGTCCCTCGGGAGAGTTACAACACCAAGACTGGATTCCGGGCGCCTGTACCTGCAAAACAACGGAGACTCAGGTTGGGTGGAGTTTCGACTCCGATGATCAAGTTAGAACGTGTTCGGAATATGTAAAAAGTGCGGAAAGTAAAGTAGTATCTTCTCGGATTCCGAAATCGGGAAAATTCTCTAAGGTGAGAATTAATTACCTGCAATCACTGACTACTCTGATTTTTTCGTGTTCAATGAATCTGTGTTCCCTAGGTGGGAGCATCTCCCTTTTATAGGGTCTTGGGATTCGTGCCACTATCCTAGGTTACGGAAACCTAGGAATGATGGGCTGTCATGGGAATTGGACCTTGAAGGTTGTTGTTTTCCCTTGCTGACTTCGAGTGCCACTGTCAACTGGTGAGTGGCCCTTATTGGACCTGTCATGAGGTGACACGTGTCCCATTCTGATTGGGCCACGTGACATGGGTATTTTTACCCAAATCATTTGTCCGTCACAAGAGTGACGTGGCGTGCCACGTGACTCCTGTGACAAGTATCACATGTAGACGAGTGAACGGTGTTGAACGGTTCACCTTCTAGGGAAGTTAGGGTGATGCCCCTATTTCCAACCCCTTTATAAGTAAGGTTCCCCCTCCTTCCCTTCTCATTTTGGAACCTGTCTGAAAAAATCTCAGAGAGAGAAAGAGAAGATTTTTAGTGATGGAAACTCTAAATCCGCCTACATTTGACTTCACAAACTTTCCTATTATTTCGCTTGACACAGCCGGTCTACCGTCTGTGTAGCTCACAAACAAGAAAACATCTGAACCACTTGGTATTTTCCAGAACTGCCTCCCTTTTTCAAATAGATACAGCCGTTCTACCGTCTGTGCATCTCACAAACGGGAGAACATCTGAACCGCCAGGGTACCTTCCAGACAATTCTCTTGATTTCCAAGTTGTTACAACAGGTCATCCGTCTGTGCACCTAAGCTAGCAAACAGAACTTCCCAGAACCGTCTGGGTACTTTTCCAAACAATTCTCTTCTTCTCCAAGTGGGTACATCCGGTCAGCGCTTGACTCTTTCAGAAGCATCTTAGAGGTACCGTCTCTCCCCTTCACAACTCTTTCAAGCTTTTTCCATTTTTATCTATATTGCATTAAATAATGGATTCACCCACCACACACACGACACAGTGTAGGATAGTGGTCAGCCGGTCTCCTGGTACAACTGAGTCTAGGATTGGGGGTGTCGCCTGGGGTTGTTTGGACCACCCTTGCTCTTCCTCGAATTCGACCGTCTCTGTGCATGTGCAGGATAATATGGTTCGGATGAAGCGAACGACAATTGACCCATATTATAGATCAGACTGCTCAGCTGAGGCACCGGTTGACATAGAATATGACTATCCTTCGGGTGCACCTACACTCCGAGGGACGATATTTCAAAGGACTCTGATCAAGGAGACGGCGCTGAGGTCGTCCAATGATCCGACTCAGAAGAGTCGACCTCACAGCAGGCAGATGTCGAAACTGAGGAGGATGAGGCGTATAAGTGGCCGTCTATAACCAACCCCACTGAGGCGCATATGACTGCAAGGGATATAGTCACCCTAAGAGCAAGCTTCCCCGCCTTTGTAGAGAAATGCCCAGTGGGGGATAGGTGGGAAATAATTGTGCCGCCTGCAGAGGCGACAGTCGTCTGGGATGACGATATTAAACATGCCGACAATTATTTCGGCTGTTATGGGACAGCATTCAAAGCCGGCCTCCGGTTCCCCCTTCGTGATGCAATCAAAGCAATCTTAAAGGGTTATGATCTTGGCGTATGGCAACTCACCCCCAACTCCCGGGTGAACATCATTAGTTATATCGCCGCCTGCGAGATGCAGGACATAACACCCAGCTGGGAGGCATTTGCACATATGCACTACTTAAGTCGTGCCCTAGGTGGCTTGAAGGCGTGGTAAACTTTAACCACGCATCCGAAGTACATGATGACACTAAATAAACCGTCTAAGTGGAGCAACTGGAAAAGCAAGTTCTACATGGTTTCCTCTCCATCTAGACGTCTAAACCGTCTGCTCCGCCAGTACTATAAGGAGCCGGCTCTCTTGGGAAAAAAGTGTACCCTTCCGCGTGTCCCTGAGGAAGCTTAGGCAGAAATAATAGAGCCGGGATTTTTCAAGAGGACCACCATGCCTCTGGATGATGGCACTGAAATAATTGTACCCAAGAACTAGGTACACCATCCGGATTGGCTCAAGGATGAGGCTTTCCTGTCCGCCTATAGTCTTAGTACCTTTTTTTATAGACGTACGTTGACCACTTAATTGACACTTTAGTGCCGCCTCTATGGTTCTGTGATTTGTTTGGTATTTAACCAACCGGTTTTCCTTTTGCAAAAAAAGTTCTAGAAATGGTTAACTCTGCAAAGACGCCTGCCAGGTCAGCAACCCTGATCCGGAAGGATCAACTTGAAAAGAAAAGGGCCCAACTGGCGTCCAAGGATGATGGGGTAAGCTCTGGTTGTGTGCTTTAACTTGCAAACTTTTATTGTCATCAGACGACTTTTATCCGGCTGTGACCCTTGTGTTTGACTTTCAGGGTGGAAGTAAGAACGTTCCATGTTCTATCTCCAAGATGCTGCTCAAACGGAAGGCTGATGAACCTTCCAAAACTCCTTCCAAGGCAAGGAAAGCCCCGCCTGCCCAGACAGCTTCATCAAGGCCGCCTTTACAAGGCAGACTAACCTCTGCTTGCTGAATTTTGCAGGTAATCCTGAGAGTAGACGGGCTCAAAGCCCCATTTCAAAAGAAGCAAGAGGAGGTAAGAAATGCCAATAAACGGGCGGTTGATGCCCTTGACCTTGCTCAATACTGATGTACTATGAATGATGTTAAGACTAAAGCTCAAGAGATGAAACAGGAGGAGCTGGTTAAGGAGCTCACGGCTGCTGTGGAGACGGCCAACAAGGTGGTGTCTGACCTTGAGCTTGAGCTAAAAAATGCCTAATTAGATCTCAAGGCATTGGAAGCGGATGACCAAGAGAATACCAAGCTTAGGGCAGACGTTTCCCGGCTGAAGGATGAGTTGGCCCAGGTGTAGACTAATCGTAAGGCTAAGCTGGCGGCTGAGCAAGACTTGCTGGTGGATGAGAATGAGCGAGATTGTGAAGCTCCCATGAAAATAGCATGGAATCTCATCCATCCGGACTACGACTGGGAGTTCTTCAACTTAAGGTACAAGTATGCCACTGAGGTATACGATGCCCAGTCCCTCGGTCTTGAGGCGCTGGCTCCGTTTGAGAAATGGGCCGATATTCAGCCGTCTAATGAGGAGCATGAGGATGAGGAGCTCAATGAGCAAGAGGAAGAACAAGTGTCGGTTGACCTTGACCAAGCTCAACTAAGGCAACCTGAAGACGAGCTCCCATCCGGCCGGGACCAGCCGGTGCCTTCACCTCAGCAACAACAAACTAAAGCTTCTCTGTCTTTGTTTTCGGCCTGCGTGCCGAGTATTACAATGTAATTCCAACAACAATCTTTTTATTTTTCCAGACGTCGATCTGGTATGACAGTCTTCTTCTCCCGGTCTTTTTATGCCGGGTGCATTTGATGAAATTGCCGACTAGGTCGGTTTTTAGCAAAAAAAATTATTCTTGCTTTATGTATATGCTTGCAATCTTAGCAAACTTGTTGATGGCACTCGACACTTAACGAAACGGCTGCCTTTTGCCCCTGGACAGATGTGTGGTTGGGTTTAAGGTAGATTGATTGACCGGGGGAGCCTAGATACTTTAGAGAGTATGAAGGGTTCCTTGGTCAATCAATCACTTTCGTGATTGCCCCAAATCAAGCACACAGCCGTTCATCATACAGGCGGATTTTAATTGAACACCAAGACATTTCTCTTTTGTTGTTTGAGACTTTTCATAAATATACTCGAGCGTCTTTTTGCCCCTTTGGGAGGACTTCTTGAGTTTCGAGTTTAGTGTGGGGGTAATAATCTATGTGGGATTGACGGTCGGTTACTAGCTGGTGTCAATGAGACATGCGTTTTTGTTTATGCCGTTTTAAGTTCCCTTTTAGATTACTCAGGTCAAACGTTTATGAATTCACCCGGATGGGCTTCGCCGAATGACTAATCATGTTGGAACAGATAGATAATCATTCAATATTATCTGGCCATTTGCCTCATCATCCGGCCATTGGCCTCATCAGTTTATTTTAAACAAATCATGCTTAGCTGCTAAGTTTTCGGACTTAGCTTTTATTTATTTGTATTTTTCCGCCTGTATTGCCCCAGAGCAATATCAGGCGTTTAACAGTGTACCATTATAAGGTTCTATCCAACTTAGATAGTAACTGGATACCAGTTGT